GAAGAACACGAAAAATTGTTAGTCCAAGGCTTCTACTTTCGTTTCTTCTCGAGTTTTTTATCAATTTTTTCCTGCTTGGTATAATTGTTTACATACGCTTGGTGCTTATTTGTGGTAAGATTTACGTTGCGTTGTTTTTGTTAATCTTCTTTTTGAAGTCTTTTTATCCCCACATTTGAGGCGCTTTTTACTTATACGCTTCTTTATTTCTTACTCTTTTTTTACTCGTTTGGTTGTTATCCTTTGCTTCTACTCATGTTTTCTAGCTACAACGCCTGTTGAGTAAACGCTAATCGATATCTACGGTTTGTTGTCTAATCCTTGAATCGGTTCTACATAGACTGTTCATTCTGTCTTCCTTTTCTGACTTGTTTGATTACCTCAGGCAAATTTCGAATCACTCGATTACCTTCTATTCGAGCGTTTATAATGCGGGTCGCATCGGTGCATCATTTTTGAAATTCTTTCATGAAGACCCTCATTTGAAAGCTGCCTCCACTGACTTGTTTATTTTTGTACTTTATTATCTTATTGATCCAGTAATAGCTAAGTCTCTTGCTCATATGTACTGAACCCAGCGAGATAGGGGAGTGCCTTTAAGAGGCCTATTTATGCCCCTGTATATCTGTTGACAAGTTCATTTTTGTTTGACCAACATATTTTTCGTCGTAATTGTGACGAACTACTTTGTAAGGCGCGTAACTCTATTTCTTGGAATTCCGATATACATTTGGTTTTTGACATGGCTTTTCCTTGGGTGGCAGCTGATTTGTGGGCCACTCTTTGTCCGTGTTGTTTTAACCATCTTCCTGCCATCTCAGATATATTTTCCTATGTAGTACAATATCCCGGTTTACTGTCACTCACGGGTGCAGGAATTCATGCATCACGACGAAAGTCCATGGATATACGCACGGCATGACCGTTTTGAATGGACGTTCCTCCTATTTACATTTTAAGTTCACAGGGCTGCAGCATTATGATTTTAATGAAGAGCACTTGCAAGGTTTATTTTTGGCACTGGTTGGTTACTGTAGTAATTAAGGACTTGGTCCTCCTACGTCTCTCCCCTGTAATTGTTTGTAGTTTTCCTTCCGCCGTTCCCGCAGTAGACACACCTTAGGAAGGAACTACCTTCTCCACCTTCGATTTCATTTTCGAATGAAAGTTATACATTAACGTTCACATCACAGAATTTCCATCCGCATTACTGTTTGTGAATATCACAGATGGATCGCCGGCATATAGTATCCACAAATTAGCATCGCTTACTGGTAGCAAAACCTCCTCTCAGTTTTTGCACGATTCTCTCCGAAATGAGCCTCAATACACGAGATCCAATTGATATACCTTACAGTTGCCCGGAGATTTATCGATTGAAGTCGACGTGGCTTTCGTACCATTGATCAAAAGGCCTACATAGACTCTTAGCTGGCGGCTTCCCGATTAATTTCCCGCCACTGTTTGGGCCTGTTCTGATGGCTTCGGCTGTCAATTGTAAGTTGGCAGACGTAAAGACAGCGGTCAGCTCGAAGGATAACATTGTTTCATCCTGATCTCTAAGGATTGAATTTCCCTAATAATTATTGCAGATTATTCACAATGTTGTCTTCCACTGGTTAAATGCTCAAAGCGCCTAGGATTCCTTCAGACGATCGTAGTTGGGCGTTTACGGGATTGATCTCATCTGCCTCATTGCACAACATACTTATGTACATTTAGAAGCCAGTAGAATTTTGTGCTGCTTGGTCGATGCTTCTCCTTTGGCATAATTTTCCTCCGTAGTTCGTTTCCGGTCCTGAAACTCTTGTAAACTGTTATGCACTCTTCCGCTATCATCAACGTTGGATTACTTATTGTGTAACAGTAGACTGTTGTGTCGCTCAAAAACTGTTCGAGTTTGTCAATATACTCCGACCTATTCAGTATAACCGTCACGCGTCTTTGGCTAGTAATTAGGGCGATTATGGCTGTCGAATGGCATTGCATACTTCTGTCTCCGAGGCACGGAATGACGGTGTTTGTTGCGTGTTCAATCTGGAACAATTGCTTAACTTTTGTAATTTCGTCGATCCGCATAATTACCATTCGGATGTGTTGCGCTTGCGAGGTCAACTAGTAACTCCTCAGCAAGAGCATCCCTGAGGTAGCGGCTGAGTTTTGCGTATCGGAGCTGGGCTGATAGGGTAGATTTCCCATCCACCCATTGTAGTTGGAATTTAATTGCAGTGGTTTACTTTCCAAACTTGCTGCGCAGTGCGTTTTGTTTTCTCATTTAGTCATTCGCAACTCAATGTTCTGTTGCAGAGTCTGTTACCGAAACAGAATGTGTATAGGAAACTCCCACATGAGGCGATATGGCAGCTTGGAACCGTACTCGCCAGTTCACGAACGGAAGCCGAAATACAGCTGGAAACAGTCATAGCTTCGATCCCAAGTATGGGACCGAGGGAACGTGCACCACCGTCGGGTCCCAATAGGGCGAAACGCCTCTGGTTCCTTTCCGGAGTAGGCCGTGCTATGTAGTTTGTGAGCCACTGGGACGAAAACATAAAAATTGACAAGTAAAATCCTCCTATTCATTAGTTAAACAAATTACATGATTCATGAAGTTTAACCGTGAATCACATGACTCACCGTAGGGTAGTTTTAGCGATTTCATTGAAAATTACAACTAAAATCCTGCTACCCACGAGTAATATAACATACCTAGCCTCTCTTTGTTACAAATGCTATAGATGTAACTTCTAGCGAGAGGCTGTCATCGCCTCTGAGGCTAGCCACTGTCAGTGGCATTGGGATAGTTTGTGTTATATACCAGTTAGGTTGTAAATTACGTAGACTAGCCAAGGTCCCCCATGGATCAGTGGCTTTAGCTGCTGGCTAGTTGGCATATGCCTCTAGCGGTCTTGGGTTCGATCCCCAGTAGGGAACCGTTTGAATGCACACCACTGACAAGCCCCCATAGGGCGAAACGCTGCTGGTGCTTTTCCTGACTAGGCTGTACTATGTTGATTTTGAACTACTGGGCGGAAGACCTTACACAAAGATTCAATCGAAACTTGTGGTGGTAGGGAATGGCATACACGAACCAAATGGCTAACTTTGCCGCACTTCCTGCACTTCGTACGCAAGTGAAGGCACCGATTGTGGGAAGTGTGTTGATCACCGTGTCTGTGGCACACCAACTTCCGCACACTATTCGCAAAAGAAGAAGGTCGAGTTACTTGGTTCACAGTTGCTGCAGGCAGCTAGGGTTTAAAAGTGGACCACTCTTTTTCAGAAGTTCCCTCTGCCGAACGAGGCTGCAAGCTGTTTCTCAAGAAAGGGTTCCTTCTTCCTGGGACAATAGTTTTTCTTTGATCCATCATCTATAATTCCAGCTATCGGACACTGTATTTTAATGACTTTTTCAAAACGCCTCGAAGAGATTATATTGTAACGACACACCGGGGTAGCTTGGTGCATGCGTGCGAGAAAATCGTTTACGTTTTCTCCGCGCTGCTGCGGAAGACGCGCCCTGCTGAATTCTCCATAGTTCCTCAAATGACTGAATCACTTGTGAGATCCCAGATTTAACCAGTAGTTTCATTGTACGAAAAGTCTTTGTCCTTCGAAACCAAATGTCTGGCGGAACTACATAATCCAGTGGGTGTCTAACAGTGTGATGGCGAGATCCAACACAGGGGAAAGCATCATCTGATGTTGGAATGTAGTCTTTCATTGAATCCATGTTGTAAGGAAGGTATTCCTGACGCTTCGGCCACAGAAATGAGACACCCGCAAGTGGGTTCTTATGGCCAGCCGCCATTTTGTTGCGTACCGATCGTGTATTTCTAATCCTTGTATGGACCCGTAATCCATTTAGACATATGAAAAACACCAACGCCGGATTATATGTGTGCAACTATGCTCTGCTCCTAACATATAGGACCAAAAAGAACCAATGAGAAACAGAGACAAATAAGCGGATGCACTATACTCATGTGGTTGGGCGCGTGTAGTGAGTGGGTGTAGCATGACTCATCGGTTGTGAATCTCCGTAGCAGGTGGGGCAGTGGTTAGGCCATTCTTCGAGTCTAGTGTTGTCATGAAAAGGCAAGTCTCCATCTCCCACAGCAACGCTCCGTACTTTCTCGAAGTCCGAAACCGGGGTGCACACTAAGATTATCCAGACAGGATATATCGTTCGCAGACAAAGGTCAAATATTCCTTGGTTTTTCAGTTATGTTCAACTGAATCGGCAACCGCAGCGCTGTTAAGCTTGGTAAAGTATATGTTGAAATTCGACCAGTAGTTGGTAAGGTGAGCAAAAGCCACCAATATTAGACGAAAACGATGCTCTGAATGACGTGAACAGGGTATTGACCTAACCAAGTTTGTACATAGCGAAAGAAATGAATCGGGTTTGTGTCATCCATACAGCAAATTTCTGATATCCTATCAGCAGTTTAACGTTTACTATGGAATAGCCTGCGCATTACGTATCAGCCTTCTTTACAAAATCTCACCAGAAAACAGTCTCCCTGGGGATAATTACCCAAACATACACTTAAACTCAACAGATGCCAAGGAAACATGTGATTACCTGATGACCTATCAATTGAGTTTATGCATAGTCAAAATTCGACCCCTAGTTATATTGATATAAACCACGGACACACAAGCTAACTATACACTGTACACAAGAATAAATGCGATCATAACAAAACGTCTGTAGGGTATATAAAAATGACGCCCAGCTAGTTGACGCATATTTGTTATCCTTAGGCCATCTTAATTTTTAGTTTAACAATGCGGTACGTTATAAGCACGCTGTACTAGTCCCAGAGATGTACGAATAGAAAATGGTATACGAAGCGGAGATATTCCAAGTCTTCTAGTTTTCTTCTGATCTGTGTCCAGCCAGTTAACTAAGATTGCACATTCACAATGCACTGAGGATGTTTGCAAGATTTTAGTGGGCACCAACTTTCGTGCATGCTTCTGCTTCTCTACAGGGTCAAGTTCACAATGGTTTTCTACATGGAAGAGGTAAATACACGTGGAATGAAGCCGGTGTGACATATGTCGGCGAATTTGTGCAAAACCAGATTACTGGAACCGGTCGGCTTGAATGGAGAGATGGAGAGTATGTATAGTATGAATTTGCTGAACCAATAATTCAGTTATTATGAAGGAGAATTTTTAAATGGTCTCAGACATGGAAGTGGTAGATATTGTCATCAGTCTGGGATCTCGTACGACGGACAGTGGCTTTCTGGAAAAAAGCATGGTAAAGTGAGTTGCTCCGCAGCGACGTTATTTGAAGGCCTTCTCCTGCAGTCTTTTCGAACTTACTAACAATCATTAGTGTGAGTTTATCGGACTCCCTTGGTGAATACAGACATTGCGAGAAACAGTATTTGTTTGTCGCATCAGACCACTACATCACAAATCGAGAGCATTGGTGACTTTTCAGCTACTTTTGCGAGCCGACTTTATTTACAGCTGAGGTTGCATGTTTCATTGCAAATAGTAGCTCGACAACCAACACCAGTTTCGTCTGTTAGTTTGGCATCAGATTAAATCATAAGACAAGACTCGAATTCCAGAAATTATTGGCATACTTATCATGTAGGAGATTAAGAGTAAATGAACTTTATATGCGAACCGCAAGTATGTGGCCAAACTCGGCTTGAACTTGGTTGCATTTATGAAAAACACTGAACTGAAGACTAGTCTTTAATAAATTTGGCGGAACCGCTGAATGCAAATATTCTGATGATAATGGCAGATAGCAGAATGTAATTGCTTTTATGTGACTCTGACATGCGAAATCATGGTCCATGCTCTTTCTCACTGCTAGATTAATTACTATCCTTCAAGTAAAGGTAGTTATTGCATATTAGCAATGGTATCTATAATGGTAGAGCAAATAATTAGCGATAACCTGGGACTTTGAACAACAAGAGTTGAAGCCACCTATAAAGTCAGTGTGCGTTACTAACTTACCTGTTGATAGTACCAATGTATACGAGCCAGTAGCTTGGCAGTAGCATAGCACCCGCCTTATATTGCAATTTTTATCGTCTGGAAATAAATACTAAATATTCATGTACCTTGGAACGTAAAGCTTACATAGCGCTCTCCACTTTGTAAGTTGATCCCGTCAGTTACTATTAGGCCGAATGATCGAAGTTCTCTGTAGACGCTCAGTGAAAATGGAAACCGTGTAAGAACGGCATTTTCCGCACATTGTTTTAGGTGCACATTTAAGTACCTCATACGAATTGCACACACGACGTAGCTGATTGCATTATTCTCAATTTCTCGACAGTATACCACTGATTTCTGCGCTTATCCCTAGTATGGCTCACCTGATGAGAAAGATGGGAGTATAATTATCAAAATTTTTCTACATAGCAAACCTATTAAGCATATATTCACAATAGGTCCTACTTGCTCACGAGCTAACTTACTGTTAAGTATACGAACTACAGGGTCGCTTGGAATATACCTCTGATGGCACCTGCTTTTACGAAGGAGATTGGGTGCAAGGACGTCGCCACGGATTTGGAGTGCATCGTTACTTAGAAGGCTCCAAATACGAGGGGCAATGGGCGTGCGGCGAACGCAGTGGTGAGGGCACAATGTGGTGGAACGACCGGGACGAGGTTTACACTGGGAACTGGCTAAACGGAAAGCAGGTTAGTACATGGTACACTCTAAGGAGAGGGTAATCGCGTGAGCTTTGAAAAAAAATTCATTTTATGTTTCATTCCCGTAATATGGCGGACTTCTTCCAATTGAACCCAATAGAGCTTAAAATCAGTAAACAAATGGTTTTGCTCTATCTGTTACAGTTTACAATAGATACTTCTAGAGAAACATATGTTTGACTATCTATATCCCTGGCAAAATATAATGGCTTATTCATTTACATGAATTGTTTTCGGGTGAAGTGAAGCATTGCTCTTTCCTTAAACAAACCATTCTATAAGAGAGAACACAGCTTTACAGTAGGTATAGTACCCGTGAGCGACTAGTTTTCGTCTTCGTTTGGTCAAAGACATGTGTCAGTTTAAACATTTTGCTTTGGGTGATATATAAGTTTAAATCTGAACACTGGATGAAAATAATGCTATGCCTGAATCGAGTGCTTCCATCGATCGATATCTAACTGTTCTTCCCTGCCTTGAACTCAACCAGTGCATTAAGATCCGCCAGTCGTAGCGGATTTGAAAATATCCTTGGGGCAACTCATAAGATTAGAGATCGCTGTGGCTTGTTTAGGCGATGGTTGCTGTTTACCCTTCTTTTTCATTCTTTTTACCCTTAGCGACACTGTTAGCTCAGATCTTCCGTGCCGCTTCTCATCATACATTCATCTCGAACTCAGGCCCCTCTCCGAGGCATTCACTCATTTACGGTGTTAATCAGGTGCGTTGTCCACCTAACAATTACATACTAAGTGGTTTTGATGATAGTATCCAACCAACTATGAAGCCTTTGTTTACATTACAGTCCCAGCGGTTTCTGTGACCGAACATACGTGAAGGACACTGAGAAACCTCACATTTGAAGCCGATCCACAAGTGTGACGTGCGCTTCACTCGTACTCACACTCCGTTTCTGACCCACTGGGTAGTACTCACATTGCACACTTGCTTGTAGTAGCCGAATTGCACGTTACACTATCCTCACGTAATTGTTTGCTTCATAAACTGTCGATAACGCTATGCCTTCTGCGGCTTATTGGCAAAAATCTCGCTATGCTACGTGCCATGTAAACATGCAAGTCAGCAGAGAGTAGCCCCTTTGTATCACAGCTGAGCTGCCACAAGTTAATATCTGTGGTATTTGGAGTAACGATGCGCTTGACAACCGCCACAGAATAAAATGACAGCTGGGTATACTGCATGATTCTTGAAACAAGTCACTAGAACAGGTAGCCCTGTGCTATTTTGGCACGGTTCCCATAGCACATACTGTTGTGTCACCGCTGACGCCTTCACCAAACGACCGCAAAAAGAACTCCAAGACGAGCCAGAAGGAGATTTGTAGACATGAAATCACAATTGCTTATATAGTTTGAAGGCAAAATGAAGGGAAGCTACTAAAGTACACTTGAGCCAACCAACTGAAGGAAAAACGTAAAATGCAACAGCGAATAAGCAACCGTGTACGTAAGAGCAAATCGCGTAGGTCCTTAAAAATAACATCATTGGACACCAAGCGTAAAGCGAACGACCATTTACAGTGACGGGTACTGGCCAATCAGAATGACGAAATGAAACTTTTAAACAAAATTCACGAATAAGGAATGCAGACCCAAAGTTGGAAACTAGTACAATAATTGCGTGATACTAAATATTCCTTTAACATAACCAAGTAGAACAGTGATGAGAAGAAAAAACCAATAGAATTTGTTCTTGCAAACAGCGCTGCTGAGAAGGGCATGTCGATGAACGTCCATTAACAATGACGCGGATGTGCCAATCGGGCGAACGCAGTAGAGCGTTTAAACAATAGTCAAGAAATAGAAATTAGGAAGAGTAAAGAATAGCTATCAAGCTCGGTCACAATAAAGGAATGTCTAATCGCTGTTCTCTTAATACTTACACTTTAAATAGGTAATATATAAATATATACACATACATATATAAATTAAACTACACTTAAACTGGCTCTTATTAAACTGGATAAATTTCAGTCCACATTATTTGGTTTGTTCTGCCTACCTGAATAGTCTTCTATTACCTTCCACACATTGCTAACGATAATTGCGCTTCTCTTCATTAACCCTATTGCGTTTGTAGCAGTTGTTGCGTAACTTCTGGTATTTTGTAGTTATCGCGGATTCGCTGCTAACCAACTTACTTCATATGCTAATTTAGCGAAGCGTTATGTCTGCATAGCCGTATGCTTTATCAGACATATTTTATTTTATAATGTTATTTCAAGTGATTGGATGTTGTTTGACATCCCAGGTGTGGCTTCGCTTGGTGTGCATGTTGACAAGGTGCTTAGGTGTCTAGTACCCACTACCTTCTCCATACTGGCTCCAGGAGACAGTTGGTCGTTGCTGGAGGGGACGGGGTGCACGGTCCTTGTGGCCGTGCTAGGCTCGAAGGGTGGTTCCATTCAGCCAGTGTGGAGCGGACCTTGGTCCAGCCACTGCCTTGCGGGTGCTTGATTCCCCAAATACAGTGTGTTTGTGTTTGCCTGTGAAGGAGTGTGGACCGGCTCCGTTGATGAAACGTGGCTCCCATCCACATGCCTCCCGGTCTTATTCCTTCGGGTTTACACTGGATATGGGGTGTGTGGTTGGAGCTGTGGGTGGTGCAGCGCATGCCACCCATGGTCTCTCTCTAGGCGCAGGCGTCCTGTGACTGACCACAGCGACAGGCAAATCCGAAACGGAATGCCGCGAACTATATATATATATATATATATATATATATATATATATATATATATATATATATATATATATATATATATATATATATATATATGGTTGGCGGCATCCGGTTTCGGGTGTGCCTGTCACTGTGGCGAACAACAGTACGCCTGCGCCTACAGAGGGACCAAAGTACGGGATCTCACATGTACCAATAAATCGTTATACAATAAGCGACACATTTTTGTTTTATTTTGTCCTTAATTTTCATCAGCTAATTAGAAGTCCTCACCAAGCATTGCGCCTTCATCCAGCTTTTCTTATAATCGTACGGTGATGAAACCACCCACCGGTGTTACCTGTTATAGCACAAATACTGATATGGAAGTAAAAGAATTAAATTGTAACTTCTGCTGCACCAGCGGTGACTCAATCTCCGACTCGTCACCTGCACCGATTCAGTGGTCTATGGACTCACTGCCTCCGGTTGACGTCGCACCACTACACAGGAACTTAACAGAGCTGCGATCACGCAAGGCCTTCAGACCTGAAGGTTGTCTGCTGTCATGCTAAAACAGTGTACCGATTCCTTAGTCCAACCTATGGCCGAGTTATACAAAATGTGCCAAAAGAAAGGAAAAGTCGCGGATGTTTGGAGGAGTCCTAGAGTAACGCCAGTACCGAAGAAATGGACGGCTAAAGACCGCCCTATTACATGCACCTCTGTGTCTTTAAACATTTTTGTGAAAATGATTCTTGCAAAATTGCTGGCCCAGTCCCCTTTGGACGACACACATTAGCTTGCTTACAGAAGCTAAAGGTCCACACAAAACGCAGTAGTTTGTCTAGCGCACTCATTGTTGTCGTCGCTGGATAGTTACAGCAAGTGCCCACATATCTGTTTTCCCGTCTATAGCAACGCTTTCGGCTGTGGCAACTGTGAATTAGTATTGCAAGATTAACACACTTAATATGTTCAACCTCCCACAGTCTTCCTGCTAAAGGATTATCTCGCCAAAAGTACTCAGGTCACCAGATTTGGCCACAAAAGCTGCTTGCAACTTATCACAACTTCAAGTGTTCTTCCTGGAGCTATTCTGTTACGATTTTTGTCCCCCAGTTACGTTAGCTCTACAACTATCCCAGGGGAACCCAATACGCGCCAACGTGCTGATAACGTTAGCATCGGTGTGAAACAACCACCTTTGGGCTCCTCAACTAGGCTGCAACGTTGTTCGGACGAATTAGTGCAATGATTGAACTCCCGCTGCTTGATGCTAAAAGCATTCAAGTGTAATTACATTCTGTTTTCACTTTAGAAAACAATGTGTTACTATGAACTTGTCACGGAATATTCCAAATATCGGCTGGGATGTGATGGTTCGAGCTTCTACAAGTCCATAAAGTGTTTGGAGCTACACTGAGAGACGATTTGTCGTGATCGCTCCACGGAAATCAGATATTCACCGAAGGCAGGCGACTTTCGTTTTAGGTCGCTAGATTGCGACCATCCTGTGTCCCATACGATTTATCCTGAAGTACATCAGAGCGTGCATTCGACCACACTAGACTTTTTGCTTCCCAGTAATTTTCCAGGCCTACAGTGTAAGTATTGCAAGCTGATTGATTTGTCAATGAAGCACTTGGCTGGCTGCAGTAACATTCAAAAGCCAAATTTGGCTGTAACCATTATATCTACACTCGTTAATGCATGCACTAAACTTACTTCCAAACTGCTTACAGATAAAAGCCACTCTCTTTACACTACGCCCTCCAGACTGTATATCTATCTCTTCGAGCAGAAAAATAAAACAGAACAATATATGTCTGCACACCGGCTTATGGTTGGTTGGTCATTCCCTATCAAGCCAACTTTCTGTTCGACTAAAACGCTATTATCTAAGAACTTACCGGAAAATTTGACTGTTCATATAATGCTTTTCATTGAGCATCTTCATTTGCTATTGTCCTGCTGCTTTTAAATTACTTCTCTATCACGTCGATAGTATGCGTGTCACTGCCAAAAATTATCGGTCATGGGTGCAAAAATTCGTGCTTGAAACCTCATTGATCGGTTGGAGAAACACTAGACGCATCTGAAGAGAAGTGTTTAGCGATCAGTCAAGCCGATCGTGTCCATCATCTATTACTGCTAGACTATCAATTTCAGAAAATCCTCCGTAGTACAAATGAAATAATCCCTAACCATAAGGTGGAAATTTTCGCACCCGGGATAGAGTCCGTGCAATTCCGCTCTAAGTAGCCCTGTATTGGCTAAAGCAGAGACATTTTATGACTAATTTG